CTTTGGCTTTGTCTTCATCACCTTCGGCTGCCACTTCTACGACTTCTTCAACCAGGCCGAGTGGGAGCGCAGCTTCCGGGAGTACGTGCTGTAAGTCAGAAGCACCCGGGCCCACCTGCCACGCGGAGATCCCAGGGCCGCTGCTCTGGGAAGGCTGTAGTGCAGGGCTAGTCAGGGAGAAGTCACCTGGGAGGGAGCTCCAGAGGTCACATCCAGTCCAACCCCTGCCTGGGGCAGGATCAGGCCTCTCCAAACCAGCCCAGACAAACCCATTGTCCAACCTCTGAGCAACACGACAGTCACCCCTGACACTGCACAAGAGCTCACGCCCGAACCTGCCACAGGCCGAGCAGGGGGACCACGGCAGCCAGCGTCCTGCTTCTTTAAAGGTTGTTAATATAGTCCCAGGAGGTCCCAGGAAGAGGGCCATGCTCACACTACAGAGAAAGGCAAAGACCACCCCCCCAGTCTGTACCAAGCTGACCATGGGGTAAAATTCCTTCCTGACCCCAAATATGATATCTGAGTAGAAGGGCAAGACCCTTTAGCCAGCAACTTCCAGGTTTAAGTCCCTGCAGGAGCACTGGCACAGCCCAGTTGCCACCCCCAGCCTGGGCTGCAGCCAGCACCGGTGCCTCTGGGAAAAGTTTAAAAACACCCTGACACATGTAGCAACAGGAAGGGAAAAATTTCCCTCCTAGCCCCATGCAGCAACTAGCAAAACCCAGAAGCCTGGGAAATGCCCGTAGCAAAGCACGGGCATGGCTACACTTAGAGCATCCCCGGCCAGTGGCTGTCCACTCTCTCCTTGAACTCTCCAGTGAGTCCACCCTCGTCCCCGGCCCTGCTTCCCCACAACCTTGCCCATCACTGTGGCATCTGGGCAGGGGTGGGGGCCAGGGTGAGACATGCAGTTCCTGTATTCCTGAGCCTGAGTCCTGGAAGCAGCTGCTCCCCTGTTCCCCTGAGCAAGGAGATGAGTTGCCCCCGAGGTGCAGGCTTGCTCCCCGTCTCCAGGGGGTCTCTGGCCCCAGGCACCCGGCACATTGTCTGTGCAACACAGTGCTTGTGTTTCTCATGCAGGTGTGAGGCCAATGTGACAATCGCCACCCAGACCAACAAGCCAATCCCCGAATGCGAGATCAAGAACCGGCCCAGCCTGCTGGTGGAGAAGATCAACCTCTTCGCCATGTTCGGCACTGGCATCTCCATGAGCACCTGGGTGTGGACCAAGGCCACGCTCTTGATATGGAGACGCACCTGGTGCAGGTAGGCCCGGCTGCTCTGGTCCTTCCCCCTTGGACCTGCTGGTTCGAGGCTGAAATATGTTTGCAAAGTTGGCTGGGGGCCACTTTCCCACTGCTCTTGGGCTGCAGAGAGCTGGGAGGGGCTCTCAGGTGTGGGTAATTGCGGAGGCCATCCAGCTTCCCCCATGGCCAGCTGGAGGAGGTAGCAGCCCAGAGCCCAGGGGCTGGAGCAAGTCAACAGGGGAATGACGGGGAGGCCAAAATGCCCTGTCCCTGCCTCTGAACCCCGTGGCTGTGGCCGCAGCTGGGCAGTCACGAGCAAGCTAGCCCATGCCAAGGGCAGGCCAGGATCTGGCCACACTGTGCTACTGCCCTGGCCCACAATGTGTGTCCTCCTCCTGCCCGCAGGCTGACTGGGCAGAGTGATGATGAGCCCAAGCGCATCAAGAAGAGCAAGATGATCGCCAAGGCCTTCTCCAAGCGCAAGGAGCTGCTGCACAACCCCGAGCAGGAGCTGTCCTTCAGCATGCACACCGTCTCGCATGATGGGCCCGTGGGTGCGTCCCCAGCTGGGCAGGGCAGCGCTTCAGGGGCTCCCCCGCTTCCAGGAGATGCTCCCCAGCTCCTGGGGTTGTTGCAAGTCAGGTGGAAGTGAGGCGCTTCCCTTGATGTCTAGCGATGGGCGCAACGGGGGTATTACCGCATTGCCCCCCCATCAGCTCTGCTGCTGCTGCTGCAGCTGCAGGCAGCCTGAGACCGACCTCGGGCTGCAGGGAGCTGGTAGGGGGCTCCGGGTGGGTGGAGGGAGCTTGCTGGGCACTTAGCATGGAGTCTGTGGGGAGCGAGGGAAACCAGAGCAAAGCGCCTAGATGCCCAGA